TCGACAACCTATGACAACCATCTTTGTAACCCATATGTAACTCCTTTTTGTAACAAAGTTCAAATAAAGTAAATATGTGTACATACAAAAGAATGAGGGGGGTGGTAGGAGAAAATAATATTAGTGTTCAGTGAGCAAAAAACCACAAGGTCTCCTCTGAATACTTTTATTTTCTTCTCCGAGGCTATGGGTCCCCACATTGGCACCAGAGGTGGTACCCTCACAAAATTTAAAAAAAAAAAAAAAAAAAAAAAAAAAAAATATATATATATATATATATATATATATATATATATATATATATATATATATATATATATATATATATATATATATATATGTCGTACCTAGTAGCCAGAACGCACTTCTCAGCCTACTATGCAAGGCCTGATTTGCCTAATAAGCCAAGTTTGTGATTTAATATATTTCTCTAATATTTTTCTTATGAAATGATAAAGCTACCCATTTCATTATGTATGAGGTCAATTTTTTTATTGGAGTTAAAATTAACGTAGATATATGACCGAACCTAACCAACCCTACCTAACCTAACTAACCTATCTTTATAGGTTAGGTTAGGTTAGGTAGCCGAAAAAGTTAGGTTAGGTTAGGTAGTCGAAAAAGCATTAGTTCATGAAAACTTGGCTTATTAGGCAAATCGGGCCTTGCATAGTAGGCTGAGAAGTGCGTTCTGGCTACTAGGTACGACATATATATATATATATATATATATATAATATATATATATATATAAAAAGAGAGAGAGAGAGAGAGAGAGAGAATATGTATGAGAATCAGTTCATGAAATTGCAAACTAATGTATGTTAGCGTATTATTTGAAGGTAAAATGATTTGAGTTTCCAGGTGGTCACTGGATCGCATTACAAGAGTCTACTCAATACCTTATTTGGTAGATTTATTCTATTGAAAGTTGTGATTTCAATATGTAAATTGCGGCGTTTTTTCCGTCTACTTTAGCGTTAGCTGCATTTTCTCATTACAGAATCATTTATATTTCATCATAAGATATTCAATCATGAATACCTGAATGTCTTATTATAAATAACTTACATTGCATACCTAACTTGTGATCTCGCTTGTCTTGTGTAATTACGCTACTGATCTTGCACAGTATTACATGGGTTACGATTGTCCCATCTTTCATTATTATTAGTGTTTTAATGTGGAAAATGCTGAAACCTTTCATATAGTGTGTGAGTGTGTGTTACGGCCCTCTCGGGACGCAACGGGGTTCTTACTCTGATGTTGTTAGAGGAAGTTGTATCCGACCCCAAGCCAGTAGAGGCTTTCAAGGGATGTGATCCGTGACGCAAGTAACTTAAAGGGGGTAGGGAAAGAAAGTTACGAACTTAAGACTATAATTGTTCCCATCACCAAATAAATAATATATATAAAAGAATGCACAGGGGGAGGGGTATTAACACTGTACAGGGGAAATACACAATTGTCTTCTGTTGAAGACTCTTGACACAGGCTCTCTGTGCTAAATCCTCGGTGCTTCTTCGTGGCCTCACAACGAATCCTCTGGGAAGCTGAGCCTACCCTGGCCACAGGTCAGCCAAAACACAGGTCCACTGGGGGCACCGCCGTGGAGGCCGTCCACCACACATCCAGCAGGTCTGCTGGCAGGTTCCGGATCAGCAAGGCTGGTCAGGCCACTCCACGGGCGATATTAGGGTAACTCCCTAGACAGGAGTCTCGTGTGATATCACAAATCACTCTCCTGTCCTCAATACCCCAGTGGATAAACGTCTCTAGCAGTTGGTCCCGGGTAATCCTTCTACTGCCACTCCACTGGCAGGGTAACACCACAGTGTTCTTCCGGGGGACGACTTCACAGCTGCTGCAGCAAAACACAAGGTATGGAGACGGCTGCCTTGGGTAGACTGACTCAACTTCCATCACAGCAGTCCCAGGTCGACTCTGTAAGCAGACACGTCATCAATAACTGGGACACACTAAGGCACCTCACTTACAGGCTCATACACAAACGCCCGACGTATCCACTCCATAGATGGCGCTGGTGTCTGAGCACCACCTCACCAGAGGTCAGCAGTGGCGGTGTTGAGTGCTGAACGGGACTGGAAACTGGCCCTCGTAGCTAGTACACGTCGTCCTCACCAGGTGTCGTCGTCCTTTTGGAGGGGGTTTCGGGAGCTGACCCACAGATGGCGCGGTCGTCACTGCTCCGGGCTCGGACGCTGGATCCGGGTTCGTAACAATGTGATATGAGTAGGCGGCTTTGCTGCTTTATATAAGTATTTCAATACGAGAGACATAATATAAGTTTACGTATGCCTTGGTTTGGTCTTGGAATTAAGTATTAGAATAGTTGACGAGGAGTCACAATAACGTGGCTGAAAAATGGTGACCAAACAACACTAGAAAAGGAAAGGACGACGACGTTTCGGTCCGTCCTGGACTATTCTCAAGTCGATTGTGATGAGGGAAGGAGGCAAAGGCAATAAATAGCCAGGGGAGAGATGAGAAGAAAATCTTAGAGGAAGAAAAAGAGAGGCAAAAGGTACGAAAGGTAAGGTGTAATAAAGGGGATAGTAATAGGAATAAGAAGGGGATAGTATTAAGAACAAGAAAGAGATCGTAAGAGAAAGCCAGGGAAAGAAAAAGAAAGAAGGAAAGAGAAAGAAAGATAAATGGAAGGGTAAGACAGTGATCTATCTGTTATGTTAGGTCACGTTTGTTTGAAAGTTTAGAGCATTTGAGTATATACTGTGAAAGGGAAGAGTCAACAGCAATAAAGCCAGGACTCAAGTTCATGTTGGGTGAATGAACCCCACCCCATGCTCTCCATGATCCCCCACCCCATGCCCTCCATGATCCCCCACCCCATGCCCTCCATGATCCCCCACCCCATGCCCTCCATGATCCCCTACCCCATGCCCTCCATGTTCCCCCACCCCATGCTCTCCATGTTCCCCCACCCCATGCCCTCCATGATCCCCCACCCCATGACCTCCATGTTCCCCCACCCCATGCCCTCCATGTTCCCCCACCCCATGCCCTCCATGATCCCCCACCCCATGCTCTCCATGATCCCCCACCCCATGCTCTCCATGATCCCCCACCCCATGCCCTCCATGATCCCCCACCCCATGCTCTCCATGATCCCCCACCCCATGCTCTCCATGATCCCCCACCCCATGCTCTCCATGATCCCCCACCCCATGCCCGCCATGTTCCCCCGCCCCATACCCTCCATGTTACCCCACCCCATGATCTCCATGATCCCCCACCCCATGTCCTCCATGTTACCCCACCCCATGACCTCCATGTTCCCCCACCCCATGCTCTCCATGATCCCCCACCCCATGCTCTCCATGATCCCCCACCCCATGCTCTCCATGATCCCCCACCCCATGCCCTCCATGATCCCCCACCCTATGCCCTCCATGTTCCCCCACCCTATGCTCTCCATGATCCCCCACCCCATGCCCTCCATGATCCCCCACCCCATGATCCCCCACCCCATGCCCTCCATGATCCCCCACCCCATGCCCTCCATGTTCCCCCACCCTATGCTCTCCATGATCCCCCACCCCATGCTCTCCATGTTCCCCCACCCCATGCTCTCCATGATCCCCCACCCCATGCTCTCCATGATCCCCCACCCCATGCCCTCCATGATCCCCCACCCCATGCCCTCCATGTTCCCCCACCCCATGCTCTCCATGATCCCCCACCCCATGCTCTCCATGATCCCCCACCCCATGCTCTCCATGATCCCCCACCCCATGCCCGCCATGTTCCCCCGCCCCATGCCCTCCATGTTACCCCACCCCATGATCTCCATGATCCCCCACCCCATGTCCTCCATGTTACCCCACCCCATGCTCTCCATGATCCCCCACCCCATGCTCTCCATGATCCCCCACCCCATGCCCGCCATGTTCCCCCGCCCCATGCCCTCCATGTTACCCCACCCCATGACCTCCATGTTCCCCCGCCCCATGACCTCCATGTTACCCCACCCCATGCCCTCCAGGATCACCCACCCCATGACCTCCATGTTCCCCCACCCCATGCCCTCCATGTTCCCCCACCCATGCCCTCCATGTTCCCCCACCCCATGCCCTCCATGTTCCCCCACCCCATGCCCTCCATGTTTCCCACCCCATGCCCTCCATGTTCCCCCGCCCCATGCCCTTCCTGTATGGGAAGTGAGGAGGAAGACGGGGTGAGTGAGAGATTGGTGGATAGACTGAGTGTCATTGTGATCAGACTCCGTGAGAGCTCCAGGCGTCAAGTGATGGTGTAGAGGGGCAACTCACCTGGTTGTCAGGGTAAGATCTGACTTCTCCCAGCCATTTTGTTAAAAAATGTTAGAAGTCAGGCCCTAGGACTGAGTCTGCTTGTAAGGCCTCTGCATTCTGGGAAACACTCTAGGCCCACAGCACCGGACCGCTGCCCAATTTGTGACCGTGATCCAGTTATTCAGCAACTGGTGGACCCCGTAACATCGTAACAAATTCTTGCTGCTCTCAAGGGAAGTCAGACTTCAGCTCCTAACCCAGACGATATTACTATGCGCCAAGTTAAGTCCATACCAATAAGGGTGTTCGCAAAGCTGTTTAACCTGTAGTTAGTTAACGAATCCTTACCTCTACCATTTCGTAAGAATAAGGCAGTGCTGATACCAAAGAAACCGAAACCAGAAACTCCTTCCCACTATCGCCCTATAACATGGCATGTACGATAGTGAGGCTGTTCCATAAGAATCTGAGCTGCAGACTCTCCGTGGCATGTTCCCACTTGATGGAAATATACAGTTGAAAGTGTTGACATTGATATTATGAGTGTGATGGAAGAGTACAACTTATCGAGGCCGGAGGCAGACACTTATCCTATGGTTCCCTATTTGAGGAGGGTCTGACTAACATCACTAAGACCCTCCCCCCCCTCAAACCCCAAAATAGGTTATACTTACTAAAACATCACCTCATTCAAAAGATGAACTACCGGCTTGTTCTCGGACGGGTGTTTAAGACGGAGTTAGCGAAGCTTGACAGGCGGATGCGGCAAGCCATTCGTGGCTGATTGCGACTGCCTCACGATTTCCTTAATGCCTTCTTTCATGTCGATGTAATGGACGATGGACTAGGAATTCCCGACTTTGCAGCATCAACCCGCCTACAAAAGAACAAGCGGCTCGGGGCGTTGGTAGAGTCAGAGGATCCAGTGGAATTGGCTGCGGCTCTCCTACCCGCATTCCAAGCGCGAATGCATCGATGAGTAGACCCGACTACGGCCGCCGGTACCCCCTTCTAACAGAACGTCTGAGAACTATTGAATTGAACTATCAGGGAAAGCGCCAAGCCATTATGACTTTATAGCAATTGGGAGGGATAAAGATTTGGGATGGGTCGGGGGGTGGGGGGGGGGAGGAATGGTGCCCAACCACTTGGACGGTCGGGGATTGAACCCCGACCTGCACGAAAGGAGACCGTCACTCTACCGTCCAGCTCAAGTGGTCTGAGAGCTCTAGGATTTGGAAAACAAAACTGCACAACATGGTTGACGGTGCCGGCCTTGCATCTGCTTGTGAGGCTTCTTCCTGTCACAAGTGGGTCTCATCCGGTACCCGTGTGCTAAGCGCAGGAGATTTTATTCATGCCATCCAGGTTAGGGCTAACGCTGCAACCACTCCGTCCAGAGCTGCTAGAAGTTGACCTGGGACTTCTGGTCTCTGCGATGCCTGCCAGAGACCAGGGACCCTGGGTCATATATCCCAGGCATGCCAGGGCATCTCCCAGAATAACTCTGGGACATATCCCAGAATTTTCCATTACATTAACCCATTATTATTATCATTTTAACTCGTATGGGTGAGATTGCCATCTAACAAGTATTATATATATATATTTTAGTTTGTGTTGTTAGGGAAATATGTGTGCTTAGGGGGTTCTTACCTCTCCCCATACCTAGTGGTTTGGGGGAACGAGTGCCCTGAAGCTATATAAAAACCTTATACTCCCCTGAAATGGTAAGGGGAGGCAGGGGATAAAAAATAAAGTTGATGTAGTTCGTTGCCATGCAGTTTTTTTGTCGTTGTTGAAATGGAGTGACTGGTGATGTGCATTGAGGTCTGCCATTAGTATGACACGTAAGTTAATGTGACTGAAGGGTGCGTTTATGTCCTTCAATGGTATGCCGGTGATTTTAATAATAATAATAGTTTATTTAGGTAAAAGTACTTACAAACAAAATTAGTTACAAACAGAATGTTGGATTTCATTCACATTCATAATGTTGGTTTCTGCACTCCTTGATGCGGTAGGGTCCTGAAAACTTATTTTGCAATGAAACCATGAAAGACTGGCATAAACAACTTGACATCATCATGTGCATTTTCAGAAGTCTCCCCAATGAGTCTCTAGGAGTATCTCCTTATGAGATGCTCTACAGACGTAAGTGCCGTACTCCTCTTAAAGCTTTTAAAGACTCTCTACGTAATGCCACCTTCAGTGACCCCTCAGAATGTGCCCCAGTTTCTTCAAAACTTAAATCACATTCTAGAGAGAGTACGTAAATTTGCTAATGACAATTTATTGAAAACTCAAGATAGGATGAAGACTCATTTTGACCAACGGAGCAAAATCAGGAAATTTAAACCAGGAGACTTCGTGTTGGCATATTTTCCGATCCCAGGTTCTCCATTGCAAAATAAGTTTTCAGGACCCTACCGCATCAAGAAGTGCAGAAACAACCACAACTACGTTCGTGAGACTCCAGATAGGCGGCGGAGGACCCAGTTGTGCCACGTCAATCTTCTAAAAGAATATAAAGGTATTCCCCCCACTGTGCTAATATCATTCTCCACTTTCAAAGATCCATACCTCCACAGTGAGACCTTCCCTGCTTCTCCTCCGGAAACCACTAACTCTGAGTCAGTGCCTTCCAACTCGGAAATCCTTAATGATCTTCTTAAATATTTACAGGACTGTAATAGTGCTCCTCTCATCAAAGTTCTTCAAGAACATCAGAAGTTGTTCAGCGATGATCCCCAGGAGTGTAATTTGGTTCAGCACGACATCCAGCTGCTTCCTGCTACCCGGCCGATTCTTCAACCCTTCTACCGTATCAGCCCGTACAAAAAGGAAGTTATACGTGCTGAGGTACAATACCTCCTGGATCATGGGCTGGCCACCCCTTGTGAGTCCCCCTGGGCCTCACCCTGCATCTTGCTGCCGAAACCGCACGGTAAAGTACGCCTTTGTACCGATTATAGGAAACTGAACCTTGTGACCGTCAAGGAAGCTTATCCTTTACCACGTATAGATGATATCCTTGACGCAGTAGGTAATGCAAATTATTTATCCCAAACTGATTTGTTAAAGGGCTATTACCAAATCAGCCTGACAGAGAGAGCTAAGGAAATATCTGCCTTCACCACTCCTTTTGACCTATTCAGATATGAACGCCTTCCTTTTGGACTGTGTAACGCCCCGGCCACCTTCCAGCGAGCTGTCAACCGCGTCATCTACGGCCTAGATCACATCTACGCCTACTTGGACGACATCGTTGTGGCAACCAACACCTGGAGGGAACATCTGCTCCAGCTGCAACGACTGTTCTCCAAGCTCCTGACAGCTGTCCTTACCATCAACTTGGGCAAGTCCACCTTTGCCAAAGGTAAAGTGCGTTATCTTGGTCATGTGATAGGGAGTGGCAGCATAGCTCCTTTAACAATCCACACTCAAGCCATTCAGCATTACCCACAACCTACGACCAGGAAAACATCAGTAAAACATCTAAATTGCTGGGACCGACTAAAGAGCCTAAATCTGTACTCCCTTGAGCGCAGGCGGGAGAGATACATAATAATTTACACGTGGAAAATAATTGAGGGACTGGTCCCAAACCTGCACACAGAAATAACATCACATGAGACCAGGAGGCATGGCAGGATGTGCAGAATACCCCCGTTGAAAAGCAGAGTTGCAACAGGTACTCTGAGAGAGAACTCTATCAACATCAGAGGCCCGAGACTGTTCAATACGCTTCCACTACACATAAGGGGCATAACTGGCCGACCCCTCACAGTGTTCAAGAGAGAACTGGATAAGCACCTCCAAAGGATACCTGATCAACCAGGCTGTGACTCATACGTCAGGCTGCGAGCAGCCGCGTCTAACAGCCTGGTTGATCAGTCCAGCCTCCAGGAGGCCTGGTCGACGACCGGGCCGCGGGGACACTAAGCCCCGGAAGCACCTCAAGGTAACCTCAAGGTAAGGAAGCAGCTCCTACGCTTCCTTAGACTTGCATCTTACTATCGTAGGTTTGTGAAGAATTTTAGTACGGTAGCGACACCATTGATTAATCTGACCGGCCCCAAGCAACGGTATCATTGGACCATTCAACAGACCGTTGCCTTTGAACAACTTAAATCTCTGCTATGTTCTGATCCCATTCTCGCCTCTCCAGATATTACGAAGCTCTTCATCATCAATGTCGACGCAAGTGGCACCGGCATCGGGGGCGTCCTAATGCCACAACGTGGCGAAGAGGTTCTTCCTATCAGCTACTACAGCTACAAGTTGAAGCCCCATCAAAAGAACTATAGCACTATAGAACAGGAACTCCTCTCCATCGTCCTGAATCTGCAACATTTCGAACCTTACCTACAGGGGAATCGGTCTATTACCATCTACTGAGACCACAATCCCCTAAGGTTCCTACAACAGGCCCAATTCAGCAATCAAGGTCTTCTACGCTGGGCTCTGTACTTGCAGAATTTTAATCTGGAGATCTTCTACATCAAAGGTTCGAACAACATCATAGCCGACGCCCTCTCCAGAGTTTACGAGGTAGAGACAGCTACTCCTACCTCTACACCAGCTACTGAAGTAACATAACCCGTAAGAGCAGGCTTCAGGGGAGAGCTGTTACGATAATCTCCTTCAAGAGAGATTTGGCCTGCTCTTTCCTATCATCATGTTACTTCAGTACATCTACAACATCTAGATACTACAAGCAAGTGTAGTACATATTGAGTAAAATACGTTTCTG